CAAAAACCGCATCAAATCAAGCAGTAGATGTTAGTGCCGAGGTGGGCGTGAGTGTGGGCGTGACTGGGACTGTGCAAGCTAAAACAAACGGTGGTAAAGTAGGGTGTCGAGGGGTCCCGGCGGTCAGCGGAGGCTCAGCAGTGTTAGCAGGCAAGGTTGTGGCTCCTGCTGGCGTGAGTGTCGCTGCTGCGTCGCCACAGGTCCTGCAGAGCGCGGGGGTCCCGGCCGGGGTTCTGAAAGGGGACTGTGGTGCTGGCGCCGCCCTCCAGGGTGGTCCCCGCCTCCCCCTCAACGCCCTCAACAACGGAGCTGCGGGCGTGAAGCCGGTGTATGGGGTGGGCCCCACGCCCATGACAGGTGGCGCCCAGGGCACGCAGGTGGTGGTGAACGGGGGTGTGTCCGGGGGGGCCCACGCAGGCTCCCCGCAGGCCAGCCTGCAGGCCCAGCCAGCTCTCAAGGGACTGACCAAGGTGGTGACCACGGCTGGAGCCGCGGGGCAGCCCGCTGTCATCATGTCCAAGCCAGGCACAGTGACCGCTGTGCCCTCGACCGGCACCCCCGGCACAGTGCCCATCCCCCAGGGCATGCAGATCCTCAACATGCGGCCGAGCCAGGCCATCAAGACCACGCAGGGCACGACCACGCTCGCTCCCAGGATGATCCTCAGCCCTGCGCAGGTCCTCCCAGGGATGCGTCCAGGACAGCCCGGGGTAAGTTTGCCTGGGGGAGGCCCTCCCTCCGGCAGGAAGAGACGAGGGCGTGCAGCCGGCCTCCTGGGCGGCTCTGCTCCCTCGGCAGATTCACCTTGAAAGAGGAGTTTCTGCAGATCTGCAATTGTCACTTAATTAATCCTAAATTTGCTCCTTAATTTGACAGAGTCATGAGAAATACTTACAAATTTGCTTATTTACAATATAACTTGTCAAGTCTGAATATAGAATGAGTGATATGAATAATTCTTATGAAGAGGAACACTTAAATATTGAAGCTGGGGAGAGAGAGCTTCAAGATAGCATCCTTTCCTTTGTTACTTACACGAGGGATACAGACGAGGAGGAGGAGGAGGAGAGAAACTTGTATCCTTCCCAACCCAAGCTGGCTTTGTTCACGCAACGGGAGAGTGGTGATAGGTTTCGTTACTCGCGTCTTCTTGTCCAGTCTTGCTTTTCCCTTCCCATTCTCTGCTTCTCCCTTCCTCTTTCCTTTCTCTGCTATCCTCTCTCTCTCTTCCCTCTCTCCTTTTTCTCTTTCCTCTTTCCTTTCTTCCCTATCCTCCTCTCTTCTCTCTCCTCATTCTCCTCTCTCCTCTCTCCTATAGCTTCTTTCTTCTTTCCCTTTTTCTTCTCTCTCTTTCCCCTTGCCTTCTCTCTTCTCTTTCCTCTCTCCTTCTTCTCCTCTTTCCTTTCTCCCCTATTCTCCTCTCTTCTCTCTCCTCATTCTCCTCTCTTCTTTCCCCTTTCCTTCTCTCTCCTCTTCTTCCTTGCCTTCTCTCTCCTCTTTCCCCTCACCTTTTCTTTCCTCTTTCCCCTCACCTCTCTCCTCTTTTCTCTTTCCTTGTCTCTATCTCTCCTCACTCTCCTCTCCTCTTTTCTCTTTCCTTGTCTCTCTCTCCCCTCAATCTCCTCTCCTCTTCTTGTTTCTGTGCACACTCCTTCATCTTGTATTCTATTGTCTCTTTCCTCCTCTCTGTCCTTCCACTCCCTGTCTTTCCTCTCATGCCAATATTTCCTTTTATCTTTCTTGTATTGTCTCATTCCTCTCTTCCCTCTCTCCTTATCTTTTCATTTTCCTGTCTTTCCTTCACTTTCTCTTCTCTCTTTTTCACACTTTCTCCTTCCTTGCCTCTTTCTTCCCCTGCTCTCTCTCTCTCTCTCTCTCTCTCTCTCTCTCTCTCTCTCTCTCTCTCTCTCTCTCTCTCTCTCTCTCTCTCTCTCTCTCTCTCTCTCTCTCTCTCGCTCTTTTCTTTTTTTTTCTCTCTTCTTTTCTCTCTCTTCTTTTTCTCTCTTCTTTTTTCTCTCTCCTTTTTCTCTCTCTTCTTTCTCTCTCTCTTCTTTCTCTCTCTCTTCTTTTCTCTTTCTTTTCTCTCTCCTTCTTCTCTCTCTTCTTTCTCTCTTTCTTCTTTCTCTCTCTCTTCTTTCTCTCTCTCTCCCTCTCTTGCTCTTTCACATTACTTTCTCTTTTTCACTCTCTTTACTCTTCTCCCTCTCTTTGCTCTCTCTTTCTCTCTTGCTCTCTCTCTCTCTCTCTTTGCTCTCTCTCTCTCTCTCTTGCTCTCACTCTCTCTCTTTGCTCTCTCACTCTCTCTTTGCTCTCTCACTCTCTCTTTGCTCTCTCACTCTCTCTTTGCTCTCTCACTCTCTCTTTGCTCTCACTCTCTTTCTCTCTCTCTCCTCTCTCCTCTCATCTCTCTCTCCTCCTCTTCCTCTCTTCTCTCTCTCCTTCTTCTCTCTCTTCTCTCCTCTCTCTCCTCTCTCTCTGCTCTCTGCTCTCTCTCTTTGCTCTCTCTCCCTCTGTCTAACTCTCTTTTGCTCTCTCTCCTTCTCTTTGCTCTCCCACTCTCTCTTCTCTCCTTTACTTCTCTCACTCTCTCTTTACTCTCTCACTCTCTCTCTCTCTGCTCTTCATCTCTCTTTGCATCTCCACTCTTCTTTATCTCTCTCTCTCTCTCTCTTTACTCTCTCCTCTCTTTTGTCGCTTCTTCTCTCTCTCGTTATACTCTCTCACTCTTCTTTGAATCTCTCTCCTCTCTCTCTTTTATCTCTCTCTCTCTCCTCTCTTTTACTCTCCTCACCTCTCTCTTTGGTCTCTCTCTCTCTCTTGCTCGTTTACTCTCTCTTACTCTCTCATCTCCTCTCCCTCTCTCTCTTTGCCTTCTCGCTCTTCTCTCTTTCTTCTCTGCCCTCTCTCTCTCTCTCTCTTTGCCCTCTCTCTCTCTCTCTCTTCTTGTTCCCTCTTCTCTCTTCTCTTTGCCCTCTCTCTCTCCTTGCTCTTCTCTCCTCTCTCTCCTCTTTCTCTCTCTTCTCTCTCTCTCCTTCTCTCTCTCTCTTCTCTTCTCTCTCTCTCTCTCTCTCTCTGCTCTCTCTCTCTCTTATCTCTCTTCTCTCTCTTTCTCTCTTTTCTCTCTCTCATCTCTCTCTCTCTCATCCTCTCTCTCTCTCTCTCTCTTTCTCTCTCCCCTCTTCTCTCTCTCCCTCTTTCTCTCCCTCTTCTCTCTCTCCCTCTCTCCCTCCTCTCTCTCTCTCTTCCCTGCTCCTCCCTCTCTCTTCTCTCTCTCTCTCTCTCTCTCTCTCTCTCTCTTCCTCTCTCTTCTCTCCCTCTCCTTCTCTCTCTCTCTCTCTCTCTCTCTCTCTCTCTCTCCTCTCTTCTCTCTCTCTCGTTCTCTCTTTCTTTCTTTCTTCTCTCCCTTTCTTATCTCCCTTTCTCTCTTTCTTTTCTCTCGTTCATTTCTTCTTTCTTCTTTTTCTCTCTCTTTCTCTCTCTCATCTCTCTCTCTCTCTCCTCTCTCTCTATCTTTTCCCTTTCCTCTCTCTTTACTCTGTTAACTCACTTCTTCTCTCTCTTTGCTCTCTCACTCTCTCTTTGCTTTCTCACTCTCTCTCTGCTCTTCTTCACTCTCTCTCTCTCTCTTCTCACTCTCTCTCTCTTCTCTGCTCTCACTCTCTCTCTCTTCTCTGCTCTCACTCTCTCTCTCTTCTCTGCTCTCACTCCTCACTTCATCTTTCTGCTCTCACTCTCTCTCTCTTCTCTTGCTCTCACTCTCTCTCTGCTCTCTCTGCTCTCACTCTCTCCTCTCTTCTCTTGCTCCTCTCTTCTCATCTCTGTTCTCACTCTCTCTCTCTATCTCTGCTCTTTCTCTGCTCTTTCTCTGCTCTTTCTCTGGTCTCACTCTCTCTCTACATCTCTGCTCTCACTCTCTCTCTCTCTCTCTCTTCTCTCTCTCTCTCTCTCTCTCTCCCTCTCTCTCTCTCTCTCTCTCTCTCTCTCTCTCTCTCTCTCTCCTCTCTCTCCTCTCTCTCTCTCTCTGCTCTCTCCCTCTCCTCTTCTGCTCTCTCTCTCTCTCTCTCCTCTCTCTCCTCTGCTCTTCTCATCTCTGCTCTTTCTCTCCTCTGCATGTCTCTCTTTCTCTGCTCACTCTCTCTCTTCTCTGCTCTCACTCTTCTTTCTCTTCTCTGCTCCTCTCTCTCTCTTGCTCTCACTTCTCTCTTTGCTCTTCACTCTCTCTCTCTTCTCTGCTCTCACTCTCTCTCTTCTTGCTTCTCACTCTCTCTCTCTTCTGTGCTCCTCACTCTCTCCTCTTCTTGCTCTCCTCTCTCTCTCTCTCTCTCTCTCTCTCTCTCTCTCTCTCTCTCTCTCTCTCTCTCTCTCCTCTCTCCTCGTCTCTCTCTCTCTCTCTCTCTCCTTCTCATCTCTGCTCTCTTTCTCTCTCTTCTCATCTCTGCTCTCTTCTCTCTCTCTTGTTCTCTCTCCTTGTTCTCTTTCTCTCTTCTCTTCTCTCTCTTCTTTCTCTGCTCTCTCTCTCTCTCTCTCTCTCTCTCTCTCTCTCTCTCTCTCTCTCTCTCTCTCTCTCTCTCTCTCTCTCTCTCTCATCTCTCTCTCCTCCTCTCTCTCTCTCTCTCTCTCTCTCTCTCTCTCTCTCTCTCTCTCTCTCTCTCTCTCTCTCTCTCTCTCTCTCTCGCTCTCTCTCTTCTCTCTCTTCTCTCTCTCTCTCTCTCTCTCTCTCTTATCTCTCTCTTCTCATCTCTGCTCTCTCTCTTAACTCTCTCTCTCTTCTCTGACTCACGTCTCTCTCTCTTCTCTGCTCTCACTCTCTTTCTCTTCTCTGCTCTCACTCTCTCTTCTCTCTTTCTCTGCTCTCACTCTTCTTCTCTCTCTTCTCTCTCTCTCTTCTCTTCTTTCTCTTTTCTCATTCTGTTCTCTCTCTCTCTCTCTTGCTCTTCTTTCTTCTCTGCTCTCTCTCTTCTCTCTGCTCTCTCTCTCTCTCTGCTTCCTCTCTCTCTCTCTCTTCTCTCTCTGTCTCTCTCTTGCTCTCTCTCTCTCTGTCTCTCTCTCTGTTCTCTTCTCTGCTCTCTCTCTTCTCTCTCTCTCTCTCTGTTCTCTCTGCTCTCTCTTCTTGGCTTCTCTCTGCTTTCTCTCTCCTCTGTCTCTCTGTCTGTCTCTCTCTCTCTCCTCTCTCTGTTCTCTCTCTCCTCTTCTCTCTCTCTCTCTCTCTCTCTCTCCTCTCTCATCTCTCTCTCTCTCTCTCTCTCTCTCTCTCTCTCTCTCCTCCTCTCTCTCTCTCTCTCTCTCTTCTCTCCTCTCTCTCTCTCTCTCTCTCTCCTCTCTCTCTCCCTCTCTCTCTCTCCTCTCTCCTCTCTACTGTCTCTCTTCTCCTCTCTCTCTCTCCTCTCTCTCTCTCTCTCTCTCTCTCTCTCTCTCTCCTCTCTCTCTCCTCTCTCTCTCTCTCTCTCTCTCTCTCTCTCTCTCTCTCTCTCTCTCTCTCTCTCTCTCTCTCTCTCTCTCTCTCTCTCTCTCTCTCTCTCTCTCCTCTCTCTCTCTCTCTCTCTCTCTCTCTCTCTCTCTCTCTCTCTCTCTCTCTCTCTCTCTCTCTCTCTCTCTCTCTCTCTCTCTCTCTCTCTCTCTCTCTCTCTCTCTCTCCTCTCTCTCTCTCTCTCTCTCTTCTCTCTCTCTCTCTCTCTCTCTCTCTCTCTCTCTTCTCTCTCTCTCTCCTCTC